GGGTGGCACACCAAGGCAGGGTGGCCCACCAATGCAGGGTGGTCCACCAAGGCAGGGTGGTCCACCAAGGCAGGGTGGTCCACCAAGGCAGGGTGGCCCACCAAGGCAGGGTGGCCCACCAAGGCAGGGTGGCCCACCAAGGCAGGGTGGTCCACCAAGGCAGGTTGGTCCACCAAGGCAGGGTGGCCCACCAAGGCAGGGTGGCCCACCAAGGCAGGGTGGTCCACCAAGGCAGGGTGGCCCACCAAAACAGGGTGGCCCACCAAGGCAGGGTGGTCCATCAAGGCAGGGTGGCCCGATAAAGAAAAACTTTCACCATCATTCACTCCATCACTGTCTTGCCAGAAGGGTGCTTTACACTACAGTTTTTAAACTGCAACATTAACACCCCTCCTTCAGAGTGCAGGCACTGTACTTCCCATCTCCAGGACTCAAGTCCGGCCTGCCGGTTTCCCTGAATCCCTTCATAAATGTTACTTTGCTCACACTCCAACAGCACGTCAAGTATTAAAAACCATTTGTCTCCATTCACTCCTATCAAACACGCTCACGCACGCCTGCTGGAAGTCCAAGCCCCTCGCACACAAAACCTCCTTTACCCCCTCCCTCCAACCTTTCCTAGGCCGACCCCTACCCCGCCTTCCTTCCACTACAGACTGATACACTCTTGAAGTTATTCTGTTTCGCTCCATTCTCTCTACATGTCCGAACCACCTCAACAACCCTTCCTCAGCCCTCTGGACAACAGTTTTGGTAATCCCGCACCTCCTCCTAACTTCCAAACTACGAATTCTCTGCATTATATTCACACCACACATTGCCCTCAGACATGACATCTTCACTGCCTCCAGCCTTCTCCTCGCTGCAACATTCATCACCCACGCTTCACACCCATATAAGAGCGTTGGTAAAACTATACTCTCATACATTCCCCTCTTTGCCTCCAAGGACAAAGTTCTTTGTCTCCACAGACTCCTAAGTGCACCACTCACTCTTTTTCCCTCATCAATTCTATGATTCGCCTCATCTTTCATAGACCCATCCGCTGACACATCCACTCCCAAATACATGTATCTGAATACATTCACCTCCTCCATACTCTCTCCCTCCAATCTGATATCCAATCTTTCATCACCTAATATTTTTGTTATCCTCATAACCTTACTCTTTCCTGTATTCACTTTTAATTTTCTTCTTTTACATACCCTACCAAATTCATCCACCAATCTCTGCAACTTCTCTTCAGAATCTCCCAAGAGCACAGTGTCATCAGCAAAGAGCAGCTGTGACAACTCCCACTTTGTGTGTGATTCTTTATCTTTTAACTCCACGCCTCTTGTCAAGACCCTCGCATTTACTTCTCTTACAACCCCATCCATAAATATATTAAACAACCACGGTGACATCACACATCCTTGTCTAAGGCCTACTTTTACTGGGAAATAATCTCCCTCTTTTCTACATACTCTAACTTGAGCCTCACTATCCTCGTAAAAACTCTTCACTGCTTTCAGTAACCTACCTCCTACACCATACACCTGCAACATCTGCCACATTGCCCCCGTATCCACCCTGTCATACGCCTTTTCCAAATCCATAAATGCCACGAAAACCTCTTTAGCCTTATGTAAATACTGTTCACTTATATGTTTCACTGTAAACACCTGGTCCACACACCCCCTACCTTTCCTAAAGCCTCCTTGTTCATCTGCTATCCTGTTCTCCGTCTTACTCTTAATTCTTTCAATAATAACTCTACCATACACTTTACCAGGTATACTCAACAGACTTATCCCCCCATAATTTTTGCACTCTCTTTTGTCCCCTTTGCCTTTATACAAAGGAACTATGCATGCTCTCTGCCAATCCCTAGGTACCTTACCCTCTTCCATACATTTATTAAATAATTGCACCAACACTGATTATTATTATTATTATTATTATTATTATTATTATTATTATTATTATTATTATTATTATTATTATTATTATTATATTATTATATTATTATTATTATTATTATTATTAGTAATAATAATAAATTAGTGACAGATATTCTTCAAGCTTAACATTGCTGTGTGTGCTCGTTAGAGCTTCAGTATGGAAGAGTTAGAGCTGTGTTATGAGAGAGAGCTAGACCTGTGTTATGGGAGAGTTAGAGCTGTGTTATGGGAGATAGATAGAGCTGTGTTATGGGAGAGAGTTAGAGCTGTATCATGTGAGATAGAGCTGTGTTATGGGAGATAGAGCTGTGTTATGGGAGAGAGTTAGAGCTGTATCATGGGAGAGAGTTAGAGCTGTATCATGGGAGAGAGTTAGAGCTGTATCATGGGAGATAGCTAGAGCTGTGTTATGGGAGAGAGTTAGAGCTGTATCATGTGAGATACTTAGAGCTGTGTTATGGGAGAGAGTTAGAGCGGTGTTATGGGAGAGAGTTAGAGCTGTATTATGTGAGATAGTTAGAGCTGTGTTATGGGAGAGAGTTAGAGCGGTGTTATGGGAAAGAGTTAGAGCTGTATCATGGGAGATAGAGTTAGAGTTAAGCTTACCTTCAAGAGTCTAAGTTGTGTTTGCTCGCACTTGTCAGAACCGTACGTGTGAGAGGCGTCCACGAAGGCCGTCACCTGGTTCATTTGTTCCCGGTAACCTAACCACCGCAAGTACGTGGCAGGTATTCCCCCAGGTGGCAGGTATTCCCCCAGGCGGCAGGTGGCAGGTATGGAATTAGAGAAGAAACAGTTAGAAGTGACTGTAGATGGATGTGGCCGAGGGCTGGTCAGTCATACTGTAACAGGATGACCCTGGACTAGACAGTACCACAGTTACTGTTAGGGCTTACCCAGGGTGAGTTGTCCGGGCATGGAGCGGGTAAGGGGCATGCAGAAGGGCTGCCCTGAAGAGATGTTCACCGGGGGGAAGAACGGGTCGTTTGGAGGGATGTGAATGGGGAAGCACTCCGGGTGGACGGTCTGGGGTGAGTCACAGCGTCTGCAGTCCAGGATGGAATCCTGGAACCCTGGAGTGACAAGGTGAGGTAGGGTAGGATCAGTACACTGTTTTAAGAGTAGGTACGATAGGGATTTAGGGGTTGTGAGGGAGTGAATCTGAAGAGTGGTGAGAGGCAGGGCCAGGAGCTGAGTCTCGGCCCCTGCAACCACATTTAGGTGAGTACAATTAGGTGAACACACACACACACACACACACACACACACACACACACACACACACACACACACACACACACACACACAACACACACACACACACACACACACACACATACACAGACCCACACAGACGCGTGGGTCCGTGGACACAGACGCGTGGGTCCGTGGACACAGACGCGTGGGTCCGTGGGGTGAAGACGTGGGTAACAAGGCTCCGAGATCCTTAGCGATGAAAGACGCGTAATATCAGCTAGAAGTAATCAGTGGTAGTGGAACGTCAGTGAACAATACTACGAGTGATAATTAAAGTTATTAGTTAAGAAAGTGAGAGGAAAGCTGAAATCATAATATTTCAAAGCGCAAACCGTTGGGGGTCTTAGGCGCTGTTGCCACATTGGCAGCGGTAGGCCTGAAGAAGTGACGTCACGACAAGTTGTGTGCCACTATACATATGAAGTGAAGTGTATATAATGTGAAGTGTATACTAGCATCAGTGAAGAGTGAAGTGAGGAAGCGGGATGTACGAGATAATATGGTTATAATCATCACGGGTGAAGGATCTCCAAAATAGGGATTTAAGGCCTACGTACTACTACGTCATCAGCAGCTGGCAACTGTCAACCGCAAGTTTATTCGCCTAGTTGTGGTTTGCATGTTGACGGCCCTGGCTGGCCTTGCATACTGTTTGATACTGGTCACTCACTCCTGCAAGCTATTACCAGAATTAGAATAGAAATAGCATAGACATAGAGAATATAGGGTTGACGAGTGTGGGAAGGTAGGTGGGACAAGCTTTTAAGGGCAACATTGTAAGACCGTGCTAGGGTCAGGTCCCAGGAGAGTTGTCAGGTCACAAGAAGCTGCGGCCAGTAATTACACCGCACAAGACACACTCACACACACACACACACACACACACACACACACACACACACACACACACACACACACACACACACATGTACACAGGCAGTGTTACTACCGGTAGTTATTAGCAGTAAGAATACTTAGGAAGCTAGGAAGTCCTAAAGGGCAATAAGTAGAGAGAGTAGCATAATTGGGAAAGATAAATGAGACTAAATTTGTGCCTACACGATACATAGTAGAGCTGCAAGTGGAGAGAATAACAGGAGTAGAATGGGAAAAGCCTGACTATAAAAGAGGGGACTACATAGGGTTGAAGAACTTCCTGCGGGAGGTCCAGTGGGACAGAGAACTGGCAGGAAAGCCAGTAAATGAAATGATGGAATATGTAGCAACAAAATGCAAGGAGGCAGTGGAAAGGTTCATTCCCAAGGGCAACAGTAACAACGGGAAGACCAGAACAAGCCCCTGGTTCACCCGACGGTGTAAGGAGGCAAAAACAAAGTGCAATAGAGAATGGAAAAAGTACAGAAGGCAGAGAACACACGAAAATAGGAGATCAGTCGCAGAGCCATGAAATGAGTACGCACAGTAAGGAGGGAGGCCCAGCGACAGTATGAAAATGACATAGCATCGAGAATCAAGACTGACCTGAAACTGTGTATAGCCACATCAGGAGAAGACAACAGTCAAAGACCAGGTGATCAGATTAAGGACAGAAGGTGGAGAACTCACAAGAAATGATCAGGAGGTATGTGAGGAGCTGAACAGGAGATTTAAGGAAGTTTTTACAGTAGAGACAGGAAGGGCTGTGGGAAGACAGAACAGAAGGGAACATCAAGAGGGAATATACCAACAAGTGTTGGATGACATACGAACAACGGAGGAGGAGGTGAAGAGCTCTTAAGTGACCTTGACACCTCAAAGGCGATGGACCGGACAACATCTCCCCATGGTCCTTACAGAAGGAGCAGAGATGCTGTGTGTGCCTCTAACCACAATCTTCAACACATCCCTTGATACTGGGCAACTACCTGAGAAATGGAAGACAGCTAATGTAGTCCCCATATTTAAGAAAGGAAACAGAAACGAGGCACTAAACTACAGACCTGTGTCTCTGACATGTATTGTGTGCAAAGTCATGGAGAAGATTATCAGGAGGAGAGTGGTCGAACACCTGGAAAGGAACAAAATTATAAATGAAAACCAGCATGGGTTCATGGAAGGCAAATCTTGTATCACAAACCTCCTGGAGTTTTATGACAAGGTAACAGAAGTAAGACATGAGAGAGAGGGTTGGGTAGATTGCGTTTTCCTAGACTGCAGGAAGGCCTTTGACACAGTTCCCCACAAGAGATTAGTGCAGAAGCTGGAGGATCAGGCACACGTAAAAGGAAGGGCACTGCAATGGATAAGGGAATACCTGACAGGGAGGCAGCAACGAGTCATGGTACGTGAAGAGGTATCACAGTGGGCGCCTGTTACGAGCGGGGTCCCACAGGGTCAGTTCTAGGACCAGTGCTATTTTTGATATATGTGAACGACATGATGGAAGGAATAGACTCTGAAGTGTCCCTGTTCGCAGATGACGTGAAGTTGATGAGAAGAAATTAAATCGGACGAGGATGAGGCAGACTGCAAAGAGACCTGGAGAGGCTGGACATGTGGTCCAGTACTGGCTTCTCGAATTCAATCCAGCCAAATGCAAAGTCATGAAGATTGGGGAGGGGCAAAGAAGACCGCAGACAGAGTATAGGCTAGGTGGACAAAGACTACAGACCTCACTCAGGGAGAAAGACCTTGGGGTGACCATAACACCGAGCACATCACCGGAGGCACACATCAACCAAATAACCGCTGCAGCATACGGGCGCCTGCAAACCTGAGAATAGCGTTCCGATACCTTAATAAGGAATCGTTCAAGACACTGTACACTGTGTATGTTTAGGCCATACTGGAGTATGCAGCACCAGTCTGGAACCCACCACCTGGTTCAAGCACGTCAAGAGTTAGAGAAAGTACAAAGGTTTGCAACAAGGCTAGTCCCAGAGCTCAAGGGAATGTCGTACGAGGAAGGTTAAGGGAAATCGGACTGACGACACTGGAGGACAGAAGGGTCAGGGGAGACATGATAACGACATACAAGATACTGCGGGGAATAGACAAGGTGACAGAGATAGGATGTTCCAGAGAGGGACACAGGGACAAGGGTCACAACTGGAAGCTGAAGACTCAGACGAGTCACAGGGACGTTAGGAAGTATTTCTTCAGTCATAGAGTTGTCAGCAAGTGGAATAGCCTAGCAAGTGAAGTAGTGGAGGCAGGAACCATACATAGTTTCAAGAAGAGGTATGACAAAGCTCAGGAAGCAGAGAGAGAGAGGATCCAGTAGCGATCAGTGAAGAGGCGGGGCCAGGAGATGAGTCTCGACCCCTGCAACCACAACTAGGTGAGTACAACTAGGTGAGTACACACACACACACACACACACACACACACACACACACACACACACACACACACACACACAACACACACACACACACACATACACACACACCACACACACACTCAACACGAGCTCAACACGAGATTTAAGGAAGTATTTACAGTAGAGACAGGAAGGACTCTGGGGACAGACCAGATGGGGACACCAACAAGGAATACACCAACAAGTGTTGGACGACATACATACAGATGAGGAGGAGTGAAGAAACTGCTAAGGGACATCGATACCTCAAAGGCAATGGGACCGACAACATCTCTCCATGGGTCCTTAGAGAGGGAGCAGATATGTTGTGCATACCACTTACCACAATCTTCAACACATCCCTGGAAACTGGGCAACTACCTGAGGTATGGAAGACGGCAAATGTAGTTCCCATTTTCAAAAAGGAGACAGAAAAGAGGCACTAAACTATAGACCTGTGTCATTGACGTGTATAGTATGCAAAATTATGGAGAAGATTATCAGGAGGAGAGTGGTGGAGCACCTGGATACGGAACAGAGTATAAATGCCAACCAGCACGGATTCATGGAAGGCAAATCCTGTGTCACAAACCTTCTGGAGTTTTATGATAAAATAACAGAAGTAAGACAAGAGAGAGAGGGGTGGGTTGATTGCATCTTCTTGGACTGCAAGAAGGCCTTTGACACAGTTCCCCACAAGAGATTAGTGCAGAAGCTAGAGCATCAGGCGCATATAACAGGAAGGGCACTGCAATGGATCAGAGAATACCTGACAGGGAGGCAACAACGAGTCATGGTACGTAATGATGTATCACAGTGGGCACCTGTGACGAGCGGGGTCCCACAGGGTCGGTCCTAGGACCAGTGCTATTTTTGGTATATGTGAACGACATGATGGAAGGGTTAGACTCAGAAGTGTCCCTGTTTGCAGATGATGTGAAGTTAATGAGGAGAATTAAATCTGATGAGGACCAGGCAGGACTTCAAAGAGACCTGGACAGACTGGACACCTGGTCCAGCAAATGGCTTCTCGAATTTAATCCTGCCAAATGCAAAGTCATGAAGATAGGGGAAGGGCACAGAAGACCACAGACAGAGTATAGGCTAGGGGCCAAAGACTGCAAACCTCACTCAAGGAGAAAGATCTTGGGTGAGTATAACACCGAGCATGTCTCCGGAAGCACACATCAATCAGATAACGCTGGCAGCATATGGGCGCCTGGCAAACCTGAGAACAGCATTCCGACACCCTTAGTAAGGAAATCATTCAAGACACTGTACACCGTTTTCGGCCCCTATGGAGTAGCACACCCTTTTTGGGAACCCGCACTTTATAAAGCACGTGAGATAGTTAGAGCTGTGTTAGGGGAGAGAGTTAGAGCTGTTTTTGGGGAGAGAGTTAGAGGGGTTTATGGGAGAGATTTTAGAGCTGTTTTGTGGGAGAGAGTTAGAGTGTATCAGGGAGGAGTTATAGTGCATATGGGAGATAGAGCTGTGTTTGGGAGAGAGTAAGGCGTGTCTGGGGAGAGTTGAGCTGTAAGGGGAGATAGAGCTGTGTTAGGGGGAGGTAAGGTGTTCATGGGAGGAGTTAGTGCTGTATCAGGGGAGATAGAGCTGTGTTATGGGAGAGAGTTAGAGCTGTATCATGGGAGAGATTTAGAGCTGTATCATGGGAGATAGATAGAGCTGTGTTATGGGAGAGAGTTAGAGCTGTGTTATGGGAGAGAGTTAGAGCTGTATCATGGGAGATAGTTAGAGCTGTGTTATGGGAGAGAGTTAGAGCTGTATCATGTGAGATAGTTAGAGCTGTGTTATGGGAGAGAGTTAGAGCTGTGTTACGGGATAGAGTTAGAGCTGTGTTATGGGAGATAGACAGAGCTGTGTTATGGGAGATAGATAGAGCTGTGTTATGGGAGATAGTTAGAGCTGTGTTATGGGAGAGAGTTAGAGCTGTGTTATGGGAGAGAGTTAGAGCTGTATCATGTGAGATAGTTAGAGCTGTGTTATGGGAGATAGATAGAGCTGTATCATGGGAGAGAGTTAGAGCTGTGTTATGGGAGATAGTTAGAGCTGTGTTATGGGAGAGAGTTAGAGCTGTATCATGGGAGATAGAGCTGTGTTATGGGAGAGAGTTAGAGCTGTATCATGTGAGATAGTTAGAGCTGTGTTATGGGAGAGAGTTAGAGCGGTGTTATGGGAGATAGAGTTGTGTTATGGGAGAGAGTTAGAGCGGTGTTATGGGAGAGAGTTAGAGCTGTATCATGGGAGATAGAGTTAGAGTTAAGCTTACCTTCAAGAGTCTAAGTTGTGTTTGCTCACACTTGTCAGAACCGTACGTGTGAGAGGCGTCCACGAAGGCCGTCACCTGGTTCATTTGTTCCCGGTAACCTAACCACCGCAAGTACGTGGCAGGTATTCCCCCAGGTGACAGGTATTCCCCCAGGTGGCAGGTATTCCCCCAGGCGGCATGTGGCAGGTATGGAATTAGAGAAGAAACAGTTAGAAGTGACTGTAGATGGATGTGGCCGAGGGCTGGTCAGTCATACTGTAACAGGATGACCCTGGACTAGACAGTACCACAGTTACTGTTAGGGCTTACCCAGGGTGAGTTGTCCGGGCATGGAGCGGGTAAGGGGCATGCAGAAGGGCTGCCCTGAAGAGATGTTCACCGGGGGGAAGAACGGGTCGTTTGGAGGGATGTGAATGGGGAAGCACTCCGGGTGGACGGTCTGGGGTGAGTCACAGCGTCTGCAGTCCAGGATGGAATCCTGGAACCCTGGAGTGACAAGGTGAGGTAGGGTAGGATCAGTACACTGTTTTAAGAGTAGGTACGATAGGGATTAAGGGGTTGTGAGGGAGTGAATCTGAAGAGTGTGGTGAGAGGCAGGGCCAGGAGCTGAGCCTCGGCCCCTGCAACCACATTTAGTGAGTACAATTAGGTGAACACATACACACACACACACACACACACACACACACACACACACACAACCACACACACCACACATCACACACACACACACACACACACACACCACACACACACACACACACACACAACACACAACACACACACACACACACACACACACACACACACACACACACACCACACCACACACACACAACTTCCCCCAGGAAGTAGTGAACATGACTCACCTTTATTAACAGGAGTGAAGATGATGTCATGATCAATGAACTGGCCCCACTGCATGATCATGAGTGTGTAACGAACATGAGGGGCAGACACATCATTGTGCATGTTGGTTGAGATGAGTCGTGGTGAGGGAAGTGGGCGACCAGTCACTGACATGCTCCGTGGCTTCGACAGTCCTGTCAGACAGTGAAATACCGGGGTTAATGTTGCTTCATACCGTGCTGTGTTTATGTTGGTGTTAGTGGTGTCAGTGGTGTCACTAGTGGTGTCAGTGGAATCAGAGCCTCATTACAAATATCACCACCACACATAGGCCACCCCAGGCAAGCTTAGGCCTACTTACCGTCATCATAGGCCGGACGCAGAAGCCTGGTGTTGGCCCGGAAGCTCTTTCCGAAGGCCGGGAAGTTGAGATTGTTGCACCAGCCAGTTGCAGTTCTGAACCTGGAGGTGTGGTCGCAAGGCAGAGTCTGGTCGTCACACTCAAACACGTTAGGGATCTCCATGATGTCGCTGACGTCGATGTTGGGCAGAACATCCATGAGATCGAGCACGGTGTTCGGTGACCCTGACTCGAAGTCCTTCAGGTGGCGGTCTGCGTTACGGCTCTTGCGTTGTCCTGGCTTGCTGTTGTGGAGGAGGAGGAGGGTTATGTCTGGGTTACTGGAGGAGGAGGGTTATGTCTGGGTTACTGGAGGAGGAGGGTTATGTATGGGTTACTGGAGGAGGAGGAGGGTTATGTCTGGGTTACTGGAGGAGGAGGAGGGTTATGTCTGGGTTACTGGAGGAGGAGGGTTATGTCTGGGTTACTGGAGGAGGAGGAGGGTTATGTCTGGGTTACTGGAGGAGGAGGGTTATGTCTGGGTTACTGGAGGAGGAGGAGGGTTATGTCTGGGTTACTGGAGGAGGAGGAGGGTTATGTCTGGGTTACTGGAGGAGGAGGAGGGTTATGTCTGGGTTACTGGAGGAGGAGGAGGGTTATGTCTGGGTTACTGGAGGAGGAGGAGGGTTATGTCTGGGTTACTGGAGGAGGAGGAGGGTTATGTCTGGGTTACTGGAGGAGGAGGGTTATGTCTGGGTTACTGGAGGAGGAGGAGGAGGAGGGTTATGTCTGGGTTACTGGAGGAGGAGGAGGTTATGTCTGGGTTACTGGAGGAGGAGGAGGGTTATGTCTGGGTTACTGGAGGAGGAGGTTATGTCTGGGTTACTGGAGGAGGAGGAGGGTTATGTCTGGGTTACTGGAGGAGGAGGAGGGTGATGTCTGGGTTACTGGAGGAGGAGGAGGAGGGTTATGTCTGGGTTACTGGAGGAGGAGGAGGAGGGTTATGTCTGGGTTACTGGAGGAGGAGGAGGGTTATGTCTGGGTTACTGGAGGAGGAGGAGGAGGGTGATGTCTGGGTTACTGGAGGAGGAGGAGGAGGTTTATGTCTGGGTTACTGGAGGAGAAGGAGGAGGGTTATGTCTGGGTTACTGGAGGAGGAGGAGGGTTATGTCTGGGTTACTGGAGGAGGAGGAGGGTGATGTCTGGGTTACTGGAGGAGGAGGAGGGTGATGTCTGGGTTACTGGAGGAGGAGGAGGGTTATGTCTGGGTTACTGGAGGAGGAGGAGGGTGATGTCTGGGTTACTGGAGGAGGAGGAGGAGGGTTATGTCTGGGTTACTGGAGGAGGAGGAGGAGGGTTATGTCTGGGTTACTGGAGGAGGAGGAGGGTTATGTCTGGGTTACTGGAGGAGGAGGAGGGTGATGTCTGGGTTACTGGAGGAGGAGGAGGGTGATGTCTGGGTTACTGGAGGAGGAGGAGGGTTATGTCTGGGTTACTGGAGGAGGAGGAGGAGGAGGGTTATGTCTGGGTTACTGGAGGAGGAGGAGGGTTATGTCTGGGTTACTGGAGGAGGAGGAGGGTGATGTCTGGGTTACTGGAGGAGGAGGAGGAGGAGGAGGGTTATGTCTGGGTTACTGGAGGAGGAGGAGGAGGGTTATGTCTGGGTTACTGGAGGAGGAGGAGGAGGGTTATGTCTGGGTTACTGGAGGAGGAGGAGGGTTATGTCTGGGTTACTGGAGGAGGAGGGTTATGTCTGGGTTACTGGAGGAGGAGGAGGGTTATGTCTGGGTTACTGGAGGAGGAGGGTTATGTCTGGGTTACTGGAGGAGAAGGATGGTTATGTCTGGGTTACTGGAGGAGGAGGGTTATGTCTGGGTTACTGGAGGAGGAGGAGGGTTATGTCTGGGTTACTGGAGGAGGAGGGTTATGTCTGGGTTACTGGAGGAGGAGGAGAGTTATGTCTGGGTTACTGGAGGAGGAGGAGGGTTATGTCTGGGTTACTGGAGGAGGAGGAGAGTTATGTCTGGCTTACTGGAGGAGGAGGAGGGTTATGTCTGGGTTACTGGAGGAGGAGGAGGGTTATGTCTGGGTTACTGGAGGAGGAGGAGGGTTATGTCTGGGTTACTGGAAGAGGAGGAGGGTTATGTCTGGGTTACTGGAGGAGGAGGAGGGTTATGTCTGGGTTACTGGAAGAGGAGGAGGGTTATGTCTGGGTTACTGGAGGAGGAGGAGGGTTATGTCTGGGTTACTGGAGGAGGAGGAGGGTTATGTCTGGGTTACTGGAGGAGGAGGAGGGTGATGTCTGGGTTACTGGAAGAGGAGGGTTTATGTCTGGGTTACTGGAGGAGGAGGAGGGTTATGTCTGGGTTACTGGAAGAGGAGGAGGGTTATGTCTGGGTTACTGGAGGAGGAGGAGGGTTATGTCTGGGTTACTGGAAGAGGAGGGTTATGTCTGGGTTACTGGAGGAGGAGGAGAGTTATGTCTGGGTTAATGGAGGAGGAGGGTTATGTCTGGGTTACTGGAAGAGGAGGGTTATGTCTGGGTTACTGGAGGAGGAGGAGGGTTATGTCTGGGTTACTGGAAGAGGAGGGTTATGTCTGGGTTACTGGAGGAGGAGGAGAGTTATGTCTGGGTTACTGGAGGAGGAGGAGGGTTATGTCTGGGTTACTGGAGGAGGAGGAGAGTTATGTCTGGCTTACTGGAGGAGGAGGAGGGTTATGTCTGGGTTACTGGAGGAGGAGGAGGGTTATGTCTGGCTTACTGGAGGAGGAGGAGGATTATGTCAAGGTCACTGGAGGAGGAAGGTTGGAGAAGTGGTGTCTGATAAGGGGGTTGTAAGCCCACACCATAATACAGAGGGAGGGTTGAGCAGGGCTCACCATACCTGCCCATAACCCAGACACACATTTGTTTATTAGTAATCAGGACTACATCTCAATCAGGGTATTTACCTAGAAGAAAAATGTTGTAATAGGATAAATTAAGTTAGGAACAACTCTTAGCTAGGTGGAACAGCTAGGAGCAGTGTAGGAACTTTATAAGTCCAAAGATCATTCTTGGGACTTGGGTAAATGTTAGTAAGGGATACCTCATAGTCAAATGGAACTTTGATCCTGTGATCTTAAGGACATCACAGAGACAGCATCATTACTAGACACTAAGGTTGGAAAAGTCCCTTCTAAGAGTTGTCTCTAACTTGATGTATCCTACTAGCTAAATTACTAGACTATTTCCTTATTAAGTAATCTAATTTGAGTTTTCCAGGAGAGACACCTTGATGGATTTGTGGTCCTGACGTCACGGTGACACGTTAACGTAACAACCCATAATCCACACGGATCCACCTAAGTCCCCCCAGAACGTCCAGTAATCCACACGGATCCACCTAAGTCCCTCCAGAACGTCCAGTAATCCACACGGATCCACCTAAGTCCCCCCAGAACGTCCAGTAATCCACACGGATCCACCTAAGTCCCTCCAGAACGTCCAGTAATCCACACGGATCCACCGAAGTCCCTCCAGAACGTCCAGTAATCCACACGGATCCACCTAAGTCCCTCCAGAACGTCCAGTAATCCACACGGATCCACCTAAGTCCCCCCAGAACGTCCAGTAATACCCACTGATCCACCTAAGTCCCTCCAGAACGTCCAGTAATCCACACGGATCCACCTAAGTCCCCCCAGAGCGTCCTATAATCCACACGGATCCACCTAAGTCCCCCCAGAGCGTCCTATAATCCACACGGATCCACCTAAGTCCCCTCAGAACATCCAATAATCCTCACGGATCCACCTAAGTCCCTCTACAACGTCCAATAATCCACACGGATCCACCTAAGTCCCTCCACAACGTCCAATAATCCACACGGATCCACCTAAGTCCCTCCACAACGTCCAATAATCCACACGGATCCACGTAAGTTCCTCCAGAACGTCCAATAATCCACACGGATATACCTAAGTCCCCCCAGAACGTCCAATAATCCACACGGATCCACCTAAGTCCCTCCACAACGTCCAATAATCCACACGGATCCACGTAAGTTCCTCCAGAACGTCCAATAATCCACACGGATATACCTAAGTCCCCCCAGAACGTCCAAAAATCCACACGGATCCACGTAAGTTCCTCCAGAACGTCCAATAATCCACACGGATCCACCTAAGTCCCTCCACAACGTCCAATAATCCACACGGATCCACCTAAGTCCCTCCAGAACGTGCAATAATCCACACGCATCCACCTAAGTCCCTCCAGAACGCCCAATAATCCACACGGATCCACCTAAGTCCCTCCAGAACGTCCAATAGCCCACACGGATTCACCTACGTCCCTCCACAACGTCCAATAGTTCACACGGATCCACCTAAGTCCCTCCATAACGTCCAATAATCCACACGGATCCACCTAAGTCCCTTTCAGAACGTCCAATAATCCACATGGATCCACCTAAGTCCCTCCACAACGTCCAATAATCCACACGGATCCACCTACGTCCCTCCAGAACGTCCAATAATCCACACGGATCTACCTGCGCCACTCCAGAACGTCCAATAATCCACACGGATCCACCTGCGCCACTCCAGAACGTCCAATAATCCACACGAATCCACCTACGTCCCTCCAGAAAGTCCAATAATCCACACGGATCCACCTGCGTCCCTCCAGAACGTCCAATAATCGACAAGGATCCACCTACGTCCGTACAGAACGTCCAATAATCACACGGATCCACCTACGTCCCTCTGGAACGTCCAATAATCCACAAGGATCCACCTACGTCTCTCCAGAACGTCCAATAATCCACACGGATCCACTTACGTCCCTCCAGAACGTCCAATAAGCTCCCATAACGTCCAATAAGCCTCCAGAACGTCCAATAAGCCTCCAGAACGTCCAATAAGCCTCCAGAACGTCCAATAAGCCTCCAGAACGTCCAATAAGTCTCCAGAACCAGAAAGTCCAATAAGCCTCCAGAACGTCCAATAAGCACCCAGAACGTCCAATAAGCCCCCAGAACGTCCAATAAGCCTCCAGAACATCCAATAAGCCCCCAGAACGTCCAATAAGCCCCCAGAACGTCCAATAAGGTTCCAGAACGTCCAATATGCTCCAGAACGTCCAATAAGCCCCCAGAACGTCAAATAATTCTCCAGAACATCCAATAAGCCTCCAAAACGTCCAATAAGCCTCTAGAACGTCCAATAAGACTCTAGAACGTCCAGTAAATCCCCAGAACGTCCAATAAGCCCCCAGAACGTCCAATAAGCCCCCAGAACGTCCAATAAGCCCCCAGAACGTCCAGTAAGCCCCCAGAACGTCCAATAAGCCCCCAGAACGTCAAATAAACCCCCAGAACGTTCAATAAGCCCCAGAACGTCCAATAAGCCCCCAGAACGTCCAATAAGTCCCAGAACGTCCAATAAGCCCCCAGAACGTCCAATAAGCCCCAGAACGTCCAATAAGTCCCAGAACGTCCAATAAGCCCCCAGAACGTCCAATAAGTCCCAGAACGTCCAATAAGTCCCAGAACGTCCAATAAGCCCCAGAACGTCCAATAAGCCCCCAGAACGTCCAATAAGCCCCCAGAACGTCCAATAAGCCCCAGAACGTCACTTACCCGGCAAAGTAGTTATTGACGAACCTCGCTGAGGCGAACTGCAAGATGAACGATGAATTGGAAATCTTGATTGATTGAGCCTTAGGCTTACCGAAGGCGTAGGCCGACCCCAGGGGCCCCTTAGGGTCAGCTGTCAGCTCTGTCACCACACAAATATAAAGATATATATATATATTATATATATATAATATAATATATAATAATATACTATATATATATATATATATATATATAGTTATATATATATATATATATATGTCGTGCCGAATAGGCAGAACTTGGACTTGGCTTAAATAGCAACGCTTCATCCTTGCCATTATAGGACAAGTGAAAATTTGTGTATGCCAATAATTTCGCCAAAATCATTTTGAACTCTAACGAAAAAAATATATATCACTGTGTTTGTTTAGTATTAAATTATTGTAAACAAATCTAAAATATTTAGTTGGGTTAGGCTAAAATAAATTTATTCTTGTTATAATAAGGTTAGGTAGTTTTCTAAGTTCCCTTTGGTGCAAAATTAAAATTTTTACATTAACATTAATGAAAAAAATATATCTTTAAACGTATAAGAGAAAATTTTAGAAGGACTTAATTTTAAATGAGTTCTTGCTAATTGACCAGTTTTACCTATTCGGCACGACATATATATATATATATATATATATATTATAATATATATATAATATTATATATTATATATATATATATATATTATATATTAGTATATATTATATTATATACGTAATTTAATAATATATATAATTTATCATAAAAAACATTAAAGTTTGGGAGGAAATATCCCAAAATCCATTAAAATTCACATAAATCCCCCCCCCTCCTCCCAATTCAAAATTTTTGAAATTGGCAAAATTTTTAGACAAAATTGGCCGGGAGAAAACCGGCGAAGAAAAAAAAAAAAAAAAAAAAAAAAACGGCGAAGAGAAAAAAAATCTTAGAGTTGCGTTTTCTAAATGAGATGCAGCGGGAAAATGGGAAAATCTACGTACATAAGTGCATAGAAAATGGGAATTGCAGAGAAAATGGTGACAGAAAACGAGATTAAGAGAAAATGGGAAGAGAAAGAAGCTCTAAGCCAGACTGTAAGTATCTATGACAGCTCTAAGCCAGACTGTAAGTATCTATGACAGCTCTAACCCAGACTATAAGTATCTATGACAGCTCTAACCCAGACTATAAGTATCTATGACAGCTCTAAGCCAGACTATAAGTATCTATGACAGCTCTAAGTCAGACTATAAGTATCTATGACAGCTCTAACCCAGACTATAAGTATCTATGACAGCTCTAACCCAGACTATAAGTATCTATGACAGCTCTAAGCCAGACTATAAGTATCTATGACAGCTCTAAGTCAGACTATAAGTATCTATGACAGCTCTAACCCAGACTATAAGTATCTATGACAGCTCTAAGCCAGACTATAAGTATCTATGACAGCTCTAAGTCAGACTATAAGTATCTATGACAGCTCTAAGCCAGACTATAAGTATCTATGACAGCTCTAAGTCAGACTATAAGTATCTATGACAGCTCTAAGCCAGACTATAAGTATCTATGACAGCTCTAAGTCAGACTATAAGTAACTATGACAGCTCTAAGCCAGACTATAAGTATCTATGACAGCTCTAAGTCAGACTATAAGTATCTATGACAGCTCTAAGCCAGACTATAAGTATCTATGACAGCTCTAACCCAGACTATAAGTATCTATGACAGCTCTAAGCCAGACTATAAGTATCTATGACAGCTCTGAGTCAGACTATAAGTATCTATGACAGCTCTAAGCCAGACTATAAGTATCTATGACAGCTCTAAGTCAGACTATAAGTATCTATGACAGCTCTAAGCCAGACTATAAGTATCTATGACAGCTCTAAGCCAGACTATAAGTATCTATGACAGCTCTAAGTCAGACTATAAGTATCTATGACAGCTCTAAGCCAGACTATAAGTATCTATGACAGCTCTAAGTCAGACTATAAGTATCTATGACGCTCTAAGCCAGACTATAAGTATCTATGACAGCTCTAAGTCAGACTATAAGTTCTATGACAGCTCTAAGCCAGACTATAAGTATCTATGACAGCTCTAAGTCAGACTATAAGTATCTATGACAGCTCTAAGCCAGACTTATAAGTATCTATGACAGCTCTAAGCCAGACTATAAGTATCTATGACAGCCTCTAAGTCAGACTATAAGTATCTATGACAGCTCTAAGTCAGACTATAAGTATCTATGACAGCTCTAAGCCAGACTATAAGTATCTATGACAGCTCTAAGTCAGACTATAAGTATCTATGACAGCTCTAAGCCAGACTGTAAGTATCTATGACAGCTCTAAGTCAGACTATAAGTATCTATGACAGCTCTAAGTCAGACTATTAAGTATCTATGACAGCTCTAAGCCAACTATAAGTATCTATGACAGCTCTAAGTCAGACTATAAGTATCTATGACAGCTCTAAGCCAGACTGTAAGTATCTATGACAGCTCTAAGTCAGACTATAAGTATCTATGACAGCTCTAAGTCAGACTATAAGTATCTATGACAGCTCTAAGCCAGACTATAAGTATCTATGACAGCTCTAAGTCAGACTATAAGTATCTATGACAGCTCTAAGCCAGACTGTAAGTATCTATGACAGCTCTAAGTCAGACTATAAGTATCTATGACAGCTCTAAGCCAGACTATAAGTATCTATGACAGCTCTAAGTCAGACTATAAATATCTATGACAGCTCTAAGCCAGACTGTAAGTATCTATGACAGCTCTAAGCCAGACTATAAGTATCTGTGACAGCTCTAAGCCAGACTATAAGTATCTATGACAGCTCTAAGCCAAACTATAAGTATCTATGACAGCTCTAAGCCAGACTATAAGCATCTATGACTGCTCTAAGTGAGACTATAAGTATCTATGACAGCTCTAAGCCAGACTGTAAGTATCTATGACAGCTCTAAGCCAGACTATAAGTATCTATGACAGCTCTAAGTCAGACTATAAGTATCTATGACAGCTCTAAGCCAGACTGTAAGTATCTATGACAGCTCTAAGTCAGCTATTAAGTATCTATGACAGCTCTAAGCCAGACTATAAGTATCTATGACAGCTTTAAGTCAGACTATAAGTATCTATGACAGCTCTAAGCCAGACTGTAAGTATCTAGCAGCTCTAAGTCAGACTATAAGTATCTATGACAGCTCTAAGTCAGACTATAAGTATCTATGACAGGTCTAAGTCAGACTATAAGTATCTATGACAGCTCTAAGCCAGACTGAAAGTATCTATGACAGCTCTAAGCCAGACTATAAGTATCTGTGACAGCTCTAAGCCAGACTATAAGTATCTATGACAGCTCTAAGCCAAACTATGAAGTATCTATGACAGCTCTAAGCCAGACTATAAGCATCTTTGACTGCTCTAAGTGAGACTATAAGTATCTATGACAGCTCTAAGCCAGACTGTATCTATCACTGTTCTAAGCCAGCTCTAAGGAAGACTATAAGTATCTATGACAGCTCTAAGCCAGACTGTAAGTATCTATGACAGCTCTAAGCCAGACTATAAGTATCTATGACAGCTCTATGCCAGACTATAAGTAACTGTGACAGCTCTAAGCCAGACTGTAAGTATCTATGACAGCTCTAAGCCAGACTATAAGTATCTATGACAGCTCTAAGCCAGACTATAAGCATCTATGACTGCTCTAAGTGAGACTATAAGTATCTATGACAGCTCTAAGCCAGACTGTATCTATCACTGTTCTAAGCCAGACTGTAAGAATCTATGACAGCTCTAAGCCAGACTGTAAGTATTTGTGACAGCTCTAAGCTAGACTATAAGTATCTTTGACTGCTCTAAGCCAGACTATAAATCTCTGTGACAGCTCTAAGCCAGACTGTAAGTATCTATGACAGCTCTAATCTAGACTATAAGTATCTTTGACTGCTCTAAGCCAGACTATAAGTATCTATGACAGCTCTAAGCCAGACTCTAAGTATCTATGACTGCTCTAAGCCAGACTGTAAGTATCTATGACAGCTCTAAGCCAGACTGTAAGCATCTATGACAGCTCTAAGCCAGACTATAAGTATCTATGACAGCTCTAAGCCAGACTGTAAATATCTATTACAACTCTAAACCAGACTGTAAGTATCTGTGACAGCTCTAAGCTAGACTATAAGTATCTATGACAGCTCTAAGCCAGACTTTAAGCATGTATGACAGCTCTAAGCCAGACTTTAAGCATGTATGACAGCTCTAAGCCAGACTATAAGTATCTGTGACAGCTCTAAGCTAGACTATAAGTATCTATGACAGCTGTAAGCCAGACTATGAGTATCTATGACAGCTCTAAGCCAAACTTTAAGCATATATGACAGCTCTAAGCCAGACTTTAAGCATCTATGACTGCTCTAAGCCAGACTATAAGCATCTTTGACAGCTCTAAGCCAGTCTAAAAAATTATGAAAGCTTTAAGTCAGCTGTAATTAGACTCAAATTTCATTCCTTTCGAGATTTATGCAGGTGGGTGGTGGTGGGCGGTAGGTGGGTGGTGATGGGCGGTAGGTGGGTGGTGGTGGGCGGTAGGTGGTGGTGGTGGGCGGTAGGTGGGTGGTGGTGGGCGGTAGGTGGGTGGTGGTGGGCGGTAGGTGGTGGTGGTGGGGCGGTAGGTGGGTGGTGGTGGGCGGTAGGTGGGTGGTGTGGGCGTAGGTGGGGTGGTGGGGTGGGTGGTGGTGGGCGGTAGGTGGGTGGTGGTGGGCGGTAGGTGGTGGTGGTGGGCGGTAGGTGGGTGGTGGTGGGCGGTAGGTGGGTGGTGGTGGGCGGTAGGTGGTGGTGGTGGGCGGTAGGTGGGTGGTGGTGGGCGGTAGGTGGGTGGTGGTGGGCGGTAGGTGGGTGGTGGTGGGCGGTAGGTGGGTGGTGGTGGGCGGTAGGTGGGGTGGTGGTGGGGGTTGGTGGGTGGTGGTGGGCGGTAGGTGGGTGTGGTGGGCGGTAGGTGGGTGGTGGTGGGCGGCTAGGTGGGTGGTGGTGGGCGGTAGTGTGGGTGGTGGTGGGCGGTAGGTGGGTGGTGGTGGGCGGTAGGTGGGTGGTGGTGGGCGGTAGGTGGGTGGTGGTGGGCGGTTGGGGGCGGTGGGTGGTGGTGGTGGCGGCGTGGGTGGGTGGTGGTGGGCGCGTAGGTGGGTGGTGGTTGGGGCGGTAGGTGGGTGGTGGTGGGCGGTAGGTGGGTAGTGATGGGCGGCAGGTGGGTATTGATGGGCGGCAGGTGGGTAGTGATGGGCGGCAGGTGGGTAGTGATGGTCGGCAGGTGGGGTGGTGGTGGGCGATCGTTGGGTGGTGATGGGCGGCAGGTGGGTGGTGATGGGCGGCAGGTGGGTGGTGGTGGTCGGTCGTTGGGTGGTGGTGGGCGGTAGGTGGGTGGTGGTGGGCGGCAGGTGGGTGGTGGTGGGCGGTAGGTGGGTGGTGGTGGCGGCAGCTGGGTAGTGATGGGCGGCAGGTGGGTGGTTTTGGGCTGCAGGTGGGTAGTGATGGTCGGCAGGTGGTGGTGGTGGGCGGTCGTTGGGTGGTGATGGGCGGCAGGTGGGTGGTGATGGGCGGCAGGTGGGTGGTGATGGGCGGCAGGTGGGCGGTGGTGGTCGGTCGTTGGGTGGTGATGGGCGGCAGGTGGGTGGTGATGGGCGGCAGGTGGGTGGTGGTGGGCGGAAGGTGGGTGGTGGTGGGCGGCAGGTGGGTGTGGTGGGCGGCAGGTGGGGTGGTGATGGGCGGCAGGTGAGTGGTGATGGGCGGCAGGTGAGTGGTGATGGGCGGCAGGTGGGTGGTGATGGGCGTCAGGTGGGTGGTGATTAGCGTCAGGTGGGTGGTGGTGGGCGGCAGGTGAGTGGTGATGGGCGGCAGGTGGGTGGTGGTGGGCGGCAGGTGGGTGGTGGTGGGCGGCAGGTGAGTGGTGATGGGCGGCAGGTGGGTTGTGGTGGGCGGCAGGTGGGTGGTGGTGGGCGGCAGGTGGGTGGTGATGGGCGGTAGGTGGGTGGTGGTGGGCGGTAGGTGGGTGGTGGTGGGCGGTAGGTGGGTGGTGGTGGGCGGTAGGTGGGTGGTGGTGGGCGGCAGGTGGGTGGTGGTGGGCGGTAGGTGGGTGGTGGTGGGCGGTAGGTGGGTGGTGGTGGGCGGCAGGTGGGTGGTGGTGGGCGGTAGGTGGGTGGTGGTGGGCGGTATGTGGGTGGTGGTGGGCGGTAGGTGGGTGGTGGTGGGCGGCAGGTGGGTGGTGGTGGGCGGTAGGTGGGTGGTGGTGGGCGGTAGGTGGGTGTGTGGTGTGTGGGCGGCAGGTGGGTATTGATGGGCGGCAGGTGGGTAGTGATGGGCGGCAGGTGGGTAGTGATGGTCGGCAGGTGGGTGGTGGTGGGCGATCGTTGGGTGGTGATGGGCGGCAGGTGGGTGGTGATGGGCGGCAGGTGGGTGGTGGTGGTCGGTCGTTGGGTGGTGGTGGGCGGTAGGTGGGTGGTGGTGGGCGGCAGGTGGGTGGTGGTGGGCGGTAGGTGGGTGGTGGTGGGCGGCAGCTGGGTAGTGATGGGCGGCAGGTGGGTGTTTTGGGCTGCAGGTGGGTAGTGATGGTCGGCAGGTGGGTGGTGGTGGGCGGTCGTTGGGTGGTGATGGGCGGCAGGTGGGTGGTGATGGGCGGCAGGTGGGTGGTGATGGGCGGCAGGTGGGCGGTGGTGGTCGGTCGTGGGTGGTGATGGGTGGCAGGTGGGTGGTGATGGGCGGCAGGTGGGTGGTGGTGGGCGGAAGGTGGGTGGGGTGGGCGGCAGGTGGGTGGTGTGGGCGGCAGGTGGGTGGTGATGGGCGGCAGGTGAGTGGTGATGGGCGGCAGGTGAGGTGTGATGGGCGGCAGGTGGGGTGGTGATGGGCGTCAGGTGGGTGGTGATGGGCGTCAGGTGGGTGGTGGTGGGCGGCAGGTGAGTGGTGATGGGCGGCAGGTGGGTGGTGGTGGGCGGCAGGTGGGTGGTGATGGGCGGCAGGCGAGTGGTGATGGGCGGCAGGTGGGTGGTGGTGGGCGGCAGGTGGGTGGTGATGGGCGGCAGGTGAGTGGTGATGGGCGGCAGGTGGGTGGTGATGGGCGGCAGGTGGGTGGAGGTGGGCGGCAGGTGAGTGGTGATGGGCGGCAGGTGGGTGATGATGGCGTCAGGTGGGTGGTGGTGGGCGTCAGGTGGGTGGTGGTGGGCAGCAGGTGAGTGGTGATGGGCGGTAGGTGGGTGATGGTGGGTGGCAGATTGGTGGTGGTGGGCGTCAGGTGGGTGGTGATGGGCGTCAGGTGCTTGGAGGTGGGCGGCAGGTGAGTGGTGATGGGCGGCAGGTGGGTGGTGGTGGGCGGCTGGCAGGTGTTCACTAGATCAAGCAGTGCTGGTGTTCAGTTAGGTCTAACTAGGTGAGACGGCCAAATTTGGTGTAATTTTGTTGTAACTAGGTGCAGGTAGGCCTGGAAATTCCATAAGTCCTCGCAAGGTCAACAGGCAGGAAGACCAAGTTCAGTCCTAAGTCGCTAGAGTCAGCGTAGAGGTCATTAGAGTCAGTATAGAGGAGAGTACAGGTCACTACAGTCATCATAGAGGGCAATGCAGATCATTACAGTCACTACAGAGGACAATAGAGGTAACTAGATTCAGTACAAAAGACACTAGAGGACACTAAAATCAGTAGAGGTCACTGGGAGTCAGTAGAGGTCACTGGGAGTCAGTAGAGGTCACTGGGAGTCAGTAGAGGTTACTAGGAGTCAGTAGAGATCACTAGGAGTTAGTAGAGGTCACTTAGTAGAGGGCAGTAGAGGTCACTAGAGTCAGTACAAAGGGCACTAGATCACTAGTCAGTACATAGGACAGTAGAGGTCACTGGGGGTCACTAGAGGTCAGAGGTCATACTCACGTCGTCTCCAGATATCCTGTTCATGGTTCCTCATGACCTGCCAAGCCTGTAGGCCTACCCTGAAGCAGTCATGAAGGAGCTCCTCAGCCTCCCTCACAACCCTGGCGTTGAGGTTGTGGTCAGAGCGGTCAATGAGGGCGTGCATGACCTCTGAGGTCACCTGGTGCCCATGTGGGGCCCTGGGCATGGCCCTGGGCACGTCCCGGGGCACACGTCTGTCAGCTGGAACGTGCGTGTACATGCGCGACTGTTGTTAGTTGGTCAGAGCATACATGTACATACATACATTATGTGAGGGCATGTGCATTAGTCACACACACACACACACACACAAAGAGCAAGACAAAGACTCAGGGAAACCGAGGAAGAGTGGTCTAGGAAGGAAGAATGAACAGCAGAGCTCAGACAAAGGGAACAACAGTGGAAAAGGAGGCTAGATGAGCTTAACAATAAAATGGATTAGAGGATGCTTTAGAGAGCAAGAAGTGGGAGCTACAAGCTGCAGCTACAGAGGCTAGGATATGGAGCCTAGAAGAGGAATTAAAAATGCTGAAATGGGATATAGAACTGAAGAGCAGAACAGGCATGACATGAGGAACAGGAACATCCACATCCAGCAAGGTAACTGAAGGAAGGGAAGGAAAGGAGATAAGCCATATGCAGAGGCCCAATCAGACCACCAGGGGGCTTAGGAAAAGTCAAGAAGTGTAAGTGGCATGCCACTGGGCACAGGGACAGTTAAGAGGAGACTGAAGGAAGGGAAGGAGGCAGGTCACCTGCAAAGGCTTTATCAGACCATTGAGAGGACCAGGAAATGGTAAGGAAAGAAGCAGTTCATGAACTTCGGTAGGCCGAAGGAGCACTTTATGAAGTAAGACAACAGGGAGAGGAAAAAGAGATTGAAAATATCATGAAAGAAATAGAAAAGGAAGATATGACTCGGCTGACAAATTTTCAGTGTCAGTGACATGAATAATATGCTGCAAAGACATGGAGAAGCTTATCAGGAAAAGATTGGTGAAGCACCTAGAAAAGAATGAACTTAGGCACAATAACCAGCACAGTTTCAGGGAGGGGAAATCCTGTGTCACAAACCTACTGGAGTTTTATGACAAGGCGACAGAGGTAAGGCAGGAGAGAGAGGGGCGGGTAGATTGCATTTTCTTGGACTGGAAGAAGGCTTTCAGTACATTTCCACACAAGAGATTAGTGCAAAAGTTAGAGGCAGGAATAACAGGAAAAGCACTGCAATGGACCAGAGAATACCGGACAGAAAGGAAAGAATGAGCGATGATACGTGATGAGGTGTCAGAGTGGGCATCTGTGACGAGCGGGGTTCCACAAGGGCCAGTCGTAGGATTGGTGCTGTTTCTGGTATATGTGAATGACATGATGGAAGAGACAGATTCAGTGGTGTTCCTGTTTGCAGACGATGGGAAGCCAGTGAGGAGAATTTAAGTAGAAGAGGATCAGGCAGGACTCCAAAGGAATCTGGACATGATGCAGCCTGGTCCAGCAATTGGCCTCTGGAATTTAGCCCTGCCAATTGCAAAGTCTTGAAGACCTCAGAGTACAAGCTAGGTGGCCAAATACTACAAACCTCACTCAAGGAAAAGAATCTTGGGGTGTGCATGACACCGAACACATCTCCTGAGGAGCACATCAACCATATAACTGCTGCAGCATATGGGCGCCTAGCAAACCTCAGAACAGCATTCCGACATCTTAATAAGGAATCATTCAGGACCCTGTACACCGTGTACGTTAGGCCCATACTGGAGTATGCGGCACCAGTTTGGAACCCACACCTAGCCAAGCACGTAAAGAAACTAGAGAAAGTGCAAAGGTTTGCAACAAGACTAGTCCCAGAGCTAAGAGGTATGTCCTACGAGGAGAGGTTAAGGGAAATCAACCTGACGACACTGGAGGACAGGAGAGATAGGGAAGACATGATAACGACATACAAAATACTGAGAGGAATTGACAAGGTGGACAAAGACAGGATGTTCCAGAGACTGGACACAGTAACAAGGGGACACAGTTGGAAGTTGAAGACACAGATGAATCACAGGGATGTTAGGAAGTATTTCTTCAGTCATAGAGTAGTCAGTAAGTGGAATAGTTTGGGAAGCGATGTAGTGGAGGCAGGATCCATACATAGCTTTAAGCAGAGGTATGATGAAGCTTACGGAGCAGGAAGAGAGTGGACCCAGTAGTGACCAGTGAAGAGGCGGGGCCAGGAGCTGTGACTCTACCCCCTCCCCACACACACACATGATCTATTACACTTGCCTGTCATATTTATGTGTCAGTCTATGTGCATCTCAGTGTGTACATGGATGTCTGTGTGTACATGGATGTCTGTGTGTACACATGTATGTATATCCCTGTGAATATATATTAATAAATGGATTATTAACAGTCATGTATATATATAATATATAATATATATATATTATAAATATATATAATATATATATATATATATATAATATATAATATATATATATATAATATATATATATATATATATATATATATATATATAATTATATGGGACTTTCGTTTTGCAACTAACACTTCTTCAGGAGCTTTCAGCAATGTTACAGAGGTAATATAGTGTGGGTAGGTGTGTCCACCTCAAGTGTTGCTGCCAGTAGACTAGCAGAATGTTTGAGTCACACCTGAGCCCTGTCTGGGCCCTGTCTGGGCCCTGTCTGGTCCTGTCTGGTCCTGTCTGGGCCCTGTCTGGTCCTGTCTGGTCCTGTCTGGGCCCTGTCTGGTTCCTGTCTGGGCCCTGTCTGGGCCCTGTGGCATGAGTTAGGGGCCCTCACTTCCTGTTTAATGCCAGTCTGCCCACCATCCGTTCTCTTTAACTCTCAGTTACTAGACAGATAACAATTGCAAAGCAATGACTGTTGTTTTAAGCCTGTTGCATAGGCCAAATTAATGACAAGTAGGCCTATATTAATGAATATTTAGATATTACTTAGATAAAAAGCATCTAATATAATAAACTGCAATAGCCATGCTAGTTTAGCATTTTATTTGATAATAATAATAATAATAATAATAATAATAATAATAATAATAATAATAATAATAATAATACAAAAATTTAATTCTGTTTTTGAGAAGATGGGGAGATACTTGTACCTCCTCCCATGGGAGACAGGTGTGAGACACTGCCGAGACAGTGAGACAAGACCAGGTCACTACCTGGACAAGACCTGGACCGGGAAAGTACCGGTGAATCAACAACAACATCGTTCTGTTTACCTAGAAATGTTCTCGTCTGTCAAGAAAAAAACTTCCTGTCAAGGACCTTTGTTTCTCGTCTCTAATTCCTTAAGAAAGTCCCAGAAAATAATGTCATTAAGATAGGTAATTTGAATTTAAATTTATTTTTAATGAAATGTTTGGTGCCAGATCAACCAGGCTGGTTGATCAGTCTGTTGGTGTTGTCACTAAACAATACATTGTCTTGGTAGTTACAGCATGATGTTCATGAACTGACCTAACTGATCCTACTGCGTCTTAAGAGGCACCTCACTTCCCCTCTCATTATTTTTCCCCTATCTACCCTGTACATAATTACTACCACATTTGCTTTGTCTCTTTAGTAAGGCAAAGTCCAGGATCGTTCCTTAATTCATGGTATAACTTAATTCATGGTATAACTTAATTCATGGTATAACTTAATTCATGGTATAACTTAATTCATGGTATAACTTAATTCATGGTATAACTTAATTCATGGTATAACTTAATTCATGGTATAACTTAATTTATGGTATAACTTAATTCATGGTATAACTTAATTCATGGTATGACTTAATTCATGGTATAACTTAATTCATGGTATAACTTAATTCATGGTATAACTTAATTCATGGTATAACTTAATTTATGGTATAACTTAATTCATGGTATAACTTAATTCATGGTATGACTTAATTCATGGTATAACTTAATTCATGGTATAACTTAATTTATGGTATAACTTAATTCATGGTATAACTTAATTCATGGTATGACTTAATTCATGGTATAACTAACTTAATTCATGGTATAACTTAATTTATGGTATAATTTAAATTTCATGGTATAACTTAATTCATGGTATGACTTAATTCATGGTATAAACTAACTTAATTCATGGTATAACTTAATTTATGGTATAACTTAATTTATGGTATAACTTAATTCATGGTATAACTAACTTAATTCATGGTATAACTTAATTCATGGTATAACTAACTTAATTCATGGTATAACTTAATTTATGGTATAACTTAATTTATGGTATAACTTAATTCATGGTATAACTAACTTAATTCATGGTATAACTAACTTAATTCATGGTATAACTTAATTCATGGTATAACTAACTTAATTCATGGTATAAACTTAAATTTATGGTATAACTTAATTTATGGTATAACTTAATTCATGGTATAACTAACTTAATTCATGGTATAACTAACTTAATTCATGGTATAACTTAATTCATGGTATAACTAACTTAATTCATGGTATAACTTAATTTATGGTATAACTTAATTTATGGTATAACTTAATTCATGGTATAACTAACTTAATTCATGGTATAACTAACTTAATTCATGGTATAACTTAATTCATGTAAACTAACTTAATTCATGGTATAACTTAATTTATGGTATAACTTAATTTATGGTATAACTTAATTCATGGTATAACTTAATTCATGGTATAACTTAATTCATGGTATAACTTAATTCATGGTATAACTTAATTCATGGTATAACTTAATTCATGGTATAACTTAATTCATGGTATAACATTAATTCATGGTATAACTTAATTCATGGTATAACTTAATTCATGGTATAACTTAATTCATGGTATAACTTAATTCATGGTATAACTTAATTCATGGTATAACTTAATTCATGGTATAACTTAATTCATGGTATAACTTAATTCATGGTATAACTTAATTCATGGTATAACTTAACAAATCATTGTTGACAGTTGTTTTTGTCGAGGTCTGAGTTTGGCTCTACAACACAATTATCAACAAAGATGTGTTAAGTTATACCATGAATTAAGTTATACCATGAATTAAGTTATACCATGAATTAAGTTATACCATGAATTAAGGAACGAACTCAGGCGCCTCTTTAATACATTGCTATCAAGTTATGGCACCTGGTGCCAGAGTGACAGAGCGTCAGGCTGGTGTCTGACACTCTGTTAGTTTTCTGGCAGCAGCACTCATCATGGACACACTTGCAAACTTGCAACATTGTTGTAAGCTCTTGAAAAAGTGTTGACTGCACCATGAAAGGCCAAGAAGAGAAAGAAGAAGCTTCCTGAGACACGTCCTTCCCAGAGGTCTCTTGTAAAAGAAGGAAGTAGAAAATTAAGAGGAAGAATAGGTTTCTTGAGATATTTACAACCTTCCCAGAGGTCTATTGTAGAAGAAAGAAGAGAAGGAAGAGGAAGAGGAGGCTTCATAATTCACTTATGTGTTTTCCAGAGGTCTCTTGTTGACGGAAGAAGAGTAAGAAGGGTCTTGCAGATTGACTTACGTGCTTCCCAGAGGTTCCACTCAGAGTCCCTCATGTTACTGATGTCCCTCTTGGCTCTGTCAATACTCTCCTGCAACATCTTGTCAGGGATAACGAAGTTAGGGCTGGCTGTCTTCCACTTCTTCAGGTTCACTGACTTGATGTTCTTACCCTGACATGACATTCGTGCGTTCCTGCAATGTAAACACACGTTTAAACATATTAATGCCCCTGACATGACATTCGTGTGTTCCTGTAATGTAAACACACGTTCAGACATATTAATGTTCCCCCTGACATGACATTCTTGTGTTCCTGCAATGTAAACACACGTTCAAGCATACTGATGTCCCCCTGACATGACATTCGTGCGCTCCTGCAATGTAAACACACTTTCAGACACATAAATGTCCCCCTGACATGACATTCATGCGTTCCTGCATTGTAAACACGCGTTCAAACATGTTAATGTCCCCTTGACATGACAGTCGTGTGTTCCTGCAATGTAAACACACGTTCAAGCATATTAATGTCCCCCTGACATGACATTCGTGTGTTCCTGCAATATAAACAATCGGTCAAACGATATTTCAATGGGACTACTTCGGACCTCTGAGTGTACCTGACACAAAAACCTCTCTGTTGTTTCTTAAGAAAGACTCCATTGACACTCTCAAGTTCTCTGATAGCCTCTGACACTCAACGTTCTCCTGACAACCTACTGACACTTCAAGCTCTCACTGATACCTCTGACACTCTCAAGTTCTCCTGACATCTCTGAACACTCTCAAGTTCTCCTGATACCTCTGACACTCTCAAGTTCTCCTGACAACCTCACATCTGACACTCTCAAGTTCTCCTGACACCTCTGACACTCTCAAGTTCTCCTGACACCTCTGACACTCTCAAGTTCTCCTGACACCTCTGACACTCTCAAGTTCTCCTGATAACCTCTGACACTCTCAAGTTCTCCTGACACCTCTGACACTCTCAAGTTCTCCTGACACCTCTGACACTCTCAAGTTCTCCTGACACCTCTGACACTCTCAAGTTCTCCTGACACCTCTGACACTCTCAAGTTCTCCTGACATCTCTGACACTCTCAAGTTCTCGTGACACCTTGACACTCTCAAGTTCTTCTGTCACCTCTGACACTCTCAAGTTCTCCTGACACCACTGACACTCTCAAGTTCTCCTGACACCTCTGACACTCTCAAGTTCTCCTGACACCTCTGACACTCTCAAGTTCTCCTGACACCTCTGACACTCTCAAGTTCTCCTGACACCTCTGACACTCTCAAGTTCTCCTGACACCTCTGACACTCTCAAGTTCTCCTGACATCTCTGACACTCTCAAGTTCTCGTGACACCTTTGACACTCTCAAGTTCTTCTGTCACCTCTGACACTCTCAAGTTCTCCTGACACCACTGACACTCTCAAGTTCTCCTGACACCTCTGACACTCTCAAGTTCTTCTGACACCTTTGACACTCTCAAGTTCTCCTGACACCACTGACACTCTCAAGTTCTCCTGACACCACTGGCACTCTCAAGTTCTCCTGACACCTCTGACACTCTCAAGTTCTTCTGACACCTTTGACACTCTCAAGTTCTCCTGACGCCACTGACACTCTCAAGTTCTCCTGACACCACTGACACTCTCAAGTTCTCTCTGACACCCACTTGACACCCTGACATCTCAAGTTCTCTTGACACCACTGACACCACTGACACCACTGACACCACTGACACCACTGACACTCTCAAGTTCTCTTGACACCACTGACACTCTCAAGTTCTCTTGACACCACTGACACCACTGACACCACTGACACCACTGACACTCTCAAGTTCTCTTGACACCACTGACACTCTCAAGTTCTCTGACACCACTGACACTCTCAAGTTCTCCTGACACCACTGACACTCTCAAGTTCTCCTGACACCACTGACACCTCAAGTTCCACCTGACACCTCTGACACTCTCAAGTTCTCCTGACACAACTGACACTCTCAAGTTCTCCTGACACCACTGACACTCTCAAGTTCTCCTGACACCACTGACACTCTCAAGTTCTCCTGACACCACTGACATTCTCAAGTTCTCCTGACACCACTGACACCACTGACACTCTCAAGTTCTCCTGACACCACTGACACTCTCAAGTTCTCCTGACACCACTGACACTCTCAAGTTCTCCTGACACCACTGACACTCTCAAGTTCTCCTGACACCACTGACACTCTCAAGTTCTCCTGACACCACTGACACCACTGACACCACTGTCTCCTGACACCACTGACACTGTCCCTGCACCACTGGCACTCTCAAGTTCCTGACACCACTGACACTCTCAAGTTCTCCTGACACCACTGACACTCTCAAGTTCTCTTGACACCACTGACACTCTCAAGTTCTCCTGACACCACTGACACTCTCAAGTTCTCCTGACACCACTGACACTCTCAAGTTCCCCTGACACCACTGACACTCCAATTCTGACACCTCTACTCTAAGTTCTCCTGACACCACTGACACTCTCAAGTTCTCCTGACACCACTGACACTCTCAAGTTCTCTTCCCCTGACACCACTGAACCAATCCCTGACACCACTGACACTCTCAAGTTCTCTTGACACCACTGACACTCTCAAGTTCTCTTGACACCACTGACACTCTCAAGTTCTCTTGACACCACTGACACCACTGACATTCTCAAGTTCTCTTGACACCACTGACACCACTGACACCACTGACACCACTGACACCACTGACACCACTGACACTCTCAGGTTCTCTTGACACCACTGACACTCTCAAGTTCTCTGACAATGACACCAACTGACACCACTGACACCACTGACACCACTGACACTCTCAAGTTCTCTTGACACCACTGACACTCTCAAGTTCTCTTGACACCACTGACACTCTCAAGTTCTCTTGACACCACTGACACCACTGACACCACTGACACTCTCAAGTTCTCTTGACACCACTGACACTCTCAAGTTCTCTTGACACCACTGACACCACTGACACTCTCAAGTTCTCTTGACACCACTGACACTCTCAAGTTCTCTTGACACCACTGACACCACTGACACCTCTGGTTTATTAAGCTTCATTAATAAGAAGAAATACTCATGTTTTTTACTGACTGATTCACTGACTCACTGACTGACTCACTGACTGACTCACTGACTCACTGACTGACTGACTCACTGATTCACTGACTCACTGATTCACTGACTCACTGATTCACTGACTCACTGACTGACTCACTGACTGACTCATTGACTGACTGACTCACTGACTGACTCACTCACTGACTCACTCACTGACTCACTCACTGACTCATTGACTGACTAACTCACTCACTGACTGACTGACTCACTGACTCACTGACTAATTCACTGAGTGATTCACTAACTCACTGACTGATTTACTGACTCACTGACTGACTCACTCACTCATTCACTGATTCACTCACTGACTCACTCACTGATTCACTGACTGATTCACTCACTCACTGACTCACTCACTGATTCACTGACTGATTCACTCACTGACTCACTAACTGATTCAATGACTGACTCACTAACTGACTGACTCTCTCACTGACTGACTCACTCTCTGACTCACTGACTCACTTACTGACTCACTCTCTGGCTGATTCACTGACTCACTGTTTCATTGACTCCCTCACTGACTGATTCACTGACTCACTCACTAATTTACTGACTGATTCGCTGACTCACTCAGTCATTAATTCACTGACTCACTCACTGACTGATTCACTGACTCATTCACTCACTCATTCACTGATTCACTGACTCTCTGACTGATTCACTGACTCTCTCACTGACTAATTCACTGACTCACTTACTGATTCACTGGCTGATTCGCTGACTCACCCACTGACTGATTCACTGACTCACTCACTGATTCATTCACTGATTCACTGGCTGACTGATTCAACTCACTGACTGATTCACTGACTCACTTACTGATTGATTCAACGACTGATTCATTGACTCACTGCCTGATTCACTGACTCACTGATTCACTGACTGATTCACTGACTCACTCACTCACTCACTGATTCACTGACTCACTGCCTGATTCACTGACTCAATCACTGACTGATTCACTGACTCACTGACTGATTCACTGACTCACTTACTGATTGATTCACCGACTGATTCATTGACTCACTGCCTGATTCACTTACTGATTCACTGACTGACTCACTCACTCACTGATTCACTGACTCACTGACTGATTCACTGACTCAATGATTGATTCACTGACTCAATCACTGACTGATTCACTGACTCAATCACTGACTGATTCACTGACTCACTCACTGACTCACTCACTCACTGATTCACCGACTCACCCACTGATTCACTGACTCACTGACAGATTCATTGACTGATTCACTGACTCACTCACTGACTGATTCACTGACTGACTCACTGAATAACTCACTCCCTGATTCACTGACTCTCTGATTCACTGGCTCACTGACTGACATTCACTGATTCACTGACTCACTCACTGACTGATTCACCGACTCACTGACTGATTCACTGACTCACTGACTGATTCACTGGCTCACTGACTCACTGATTCACTGACTCACTGATTGATTCACTGACTCACTGACTCACTGATTCACTGACTCACTCACTCACTGATTCACTGACTCACTGATTGATTCACTGACTCACTGACTCACTGATTCACTGACTCACTGATTCACTGACTCACTGATTCACTGACTCACTGACTGATTTACTGACTGACTGACTCACTGATTCACTGACTCACTGATTGATTCACTGACTCACTCACTCACTGATTCACTGACTCACTGATTGATTCACTGACTCACTGACTCACTGATTCACTGACTCACTGATTCACTGACTCACTGATTCACTGACTCACTGATTGATTCACTGACTCACTGACTCACTGATTCACTGACTCACTCACTCACTGATTCACTGACTCACTGATTGATTCACTGACTCACTGACTCACCGACTCACTGACTAACTGATTCACTGACTGATTCACTGACTCACTGACTGACTCACAACAGTACTCACAAGAATGAGTCAGCCTCCAGCATGACTCTGGGTTGTACACTGACTCACAACAGTACTCACAAGAATGAGTCAG